AGAACAAACGCAACAAGTACGGCAGGATTTTTGAGAATACAGAGTGATGCGGACGGAGAAAGAGTGAATGTGTATAAGACTCCGCCGACGAGAATGCTCGCCGCTTGGTCTGTTCGCACCTCCTTCAGTCGCGTAAGCCTGAGCAGAACAGAGTAAAAAACTCGCAGGTTTTGACTTCGTGCGCGCCCCTGGAGTCAGATACACTACTTAGAGTGTGTATGCAGATTGAAACTCTGGGATCGGATAGCAGTGGCACACACTCGGCTTCCGAGCAACTTTCCTCACAATGACGGTGCTGAGGGCATTACTCCTTTTGGAATTTTGCGGGGTCAGAGGTGGGTTTCGAAAAATTGCCCGAGATTTGCTCTTCGTATGGCCGGATTGCTCCTCTCTTTTTACCTTTCATCCACGAGGAAGCTCGAAGTCGCGTATTGGACGAAATTATAGTAGTAGGGTCAACCTGTGGAGCGAGAACAACTGGGCCTGATTCCCACTTGCCTAGAAGAGAGGTAGGCTTTCCACGACTCGAAATCGCACATTGAATCCATCTCGATTTTGAGTAGTCGCACCGGTTTCGATGAAGAAGAGGATAGTGATAGGCAACCGGTATGAAGATCCGAGAAGATTGGCTGCATGATCTACGAGTTGATGTGGCGCGAGCGTCTGGTGAAGCGGAGTGGTATGGTTCATCCGACTTGATAGATCTAGGGATGATCGGAAGTTTGAGAAAACGAGTAGATGATCAGCAGGAACAGGTTTCTACTGTTTGTGTCAGTACGCGACGGAGTTCCACGACACATTCAATTCGTCGTGGATTTGACGCTTTTCACCGACAGTCTGGTAAGGGGACGATGCCCTTTATGCGCTAAACATGATGAGGGACGCCTCTTCTTGCACGCTACTGTCCGTCCAGCACATGGCAGCAGTGATGGCGCTCGCCTGGAAATTGCGCTTCCTCTTGGAAAGTAGTTGTGCTACTGGCCTGATGATCGGTGAAAATGCGGGAAAACAAGGTATGGCCCGGTGGCGTGTGGCAGTGTGGCCAAATTGCAGTCGACCCGATGAGGCCACTGGAAAGCCAGAGGTAGGAAGAGAGTAGCTAGAGCCGAACCCAAGTTTGCATTGGTGTGGCCCCGGTGTGCTCGACCTCGGTCGTGTATGTTCATAGGGTGGCCGCACTGAGTCGCGGCTGATTAAGGTTATCATTGCTCCTTGAGTCCTGTTCTATCAAACAAACCTGGTTTTTGTTTCCAGTGGCCCTCTCACGGAAAGTAGCCGCGAAGGTTGGTATCATGCCCATAACCAAGCAGTTTCGGCCGACCATCGGTCAGTGCCCACTGCGCCGTATAATTCGTAGGTACTCGTACGGGTAGAGCAGGGCATATGCGACGTCATAAGGGTTGAAGCAGCATGGGAGGGCGGGTTGAGGGAGCATCAGACGATCTTGTGCATCCACAGTGGTGAAACGCGCGAAGGCCAGCTCGCTGGAGCCCTTGGCTACCTCGTGGGGCCTGTTGAGATACCGCTGATGATAACCAACAAGGATGTGTCGATTATGCAATTTGCAAAAGGTTGGACTCTCGAGACTTGAGCCAGTTCTTCTATGTAGCCATGCCGGGGCCTTTGCTCATTGCGTTGCAGAAGCCGTCGCACAATGTCGCGGTTGGGCGTTGAGCAACTCTCATCAAGTGATTGAAGCACGAGCATTCAATCAATAGAAAGAGCCAGTAGCGCCGCGACTTTTCGATGAGGCGGCGTCCAGACACCGCTGCCAAGGCATCGTGGCATCCAAGCTGTCAGTTGGTGGAGGCTGGCCCAAGGAAGAGAAGAGATGTCCAAGCTAAGCCGGTTCGAGCGGCATTATGAAGTGCCGGGGCGGTCTGCAGAAAGGATTTGGAGATTAAGATTGGCTTTTTGAGCTTGAAAACACACGGGCAGTGGTCCGTGATTCTGACGTGGTGACAATGCTGATCTACTACGTAGCGACGCTGGTTGAAGCCGCGGAGGATTTTGGCTGACAGTGGACGGCCATCGAGGGACCCATGGATTGACAGGGGAAACGAGGCATGGAGATCCAGAGGGGCGCGGTTCGACTGCGACTAGGGCCTGTTCAACCAATGTCAGTCCCTGCAGGCTTTACATATCGCCTGTCGATTCTCGAGTAGGTATCCGTATCTCGAGTCCTGTGTGAGTGTCTGCTTTGGAGTTTGGCGTCCCCGACTCTAGCGGCTCCGTACATCCTGTGTGAGTTGTCCCATGTCGTGGGCCGTGGGCCGTGGTGTGGTCGTGTTGGGTGACAGTTTTCTCCTCTTGAAAATACGGGGATGATTTGCCGCGTGACCCACTGAATACCGATGTATACTCTCAAAGTGGCTCTCCTTTGAGTGACAGCCATCAGCAGGAAATTAGACCGCCATGGAGCTGGAGGGGAGATGTTCGTGGAAGGGAAAAAGATTGACGACTCCAAGACTGAAAAGGGGAAGTTGTGAACATCATTTGCGCTTCCTGGCTTGTGCAGGAATAGGAACGTATCTTACGGGTACGTACCAGTCAGCGATGAACCCAGCACGTGCCAGACACGTACTTATATACAAAGTGTGTACGTACTGAACAGTACGTACTCTATATAGGCATTAGGCGATACCTTACCTTAGGGGCGTTGAAATGTTTTGGGAAACAAAAGTCCACAGCTTCCGCAGCTTGTTCCTGCATTAGTTCGAGAAACCAAATGTTTGTGCTACTCTCTCGAGTTATGCCTACTTTGTGCAACTACTGCGTACTTACCTAACAACCTTACCCCTGGCCAAACTGTCAGACTTTCTTTCCAAAATGTCAAGGGTCAATTAACAAAGGGAGGGTGAGGGGCCAAGCACAGGCGTAGGCCACAGGGCACAAGGCACAAGGCACAACAAGGCTTTGCCAAGGGAAACCGGAACCCCTGTCTCTGGCTCGAGGATGTCTCTTTCACTCCTCTTTTGGCGGAGAACCCTGTTCCTCGTCTTCTCTCTGCGTTGGCGTCTCTTTCTCTCTTTTCTTCATTTCTCTGTTCTGTCCAGCCTCTGCCATGGCAGTGTCACTGTTTCTGCCGCTGACGCTGCTGCACCTCTCACCGAGTCCTCCTTCCTTTGGTGAGATGATCGTCCTTCACCTCCACATTTCGGTGCGTTCCCGCTGCCCATCATCTCTCTCAGCTGGACGGCCTCGCTGCCTCAGCACTCACTCAGCTCTTCCGCTCCTTTGTCCCATTTAGCTCTGAACAATTTCAAGGCGACTAATGCCGCGGGTTGTCTCTCCCTACGGATCGTTCTCTCCCTATCTACGGATCTGAAGTCAGTCTTCTGGTCTCAACCATAGCAACGTGGTCTAGCTCGCTCCCGCATTCCTCAGGCAAACCTTTTCTTAACCTCCTCTGATCTCTCGTCTCACTCTCATCTCATCCGTACTGCCCAAGTTGCATCTCGGAGACTGACGACCACTTTGTCCAGCCGACAAGACAGGGGAAGGCGAGGCGACTGAGCGAAATAACGACGGCCTGGATCTGCGAAACTACGGATACTCAGTCGCTCAAGTACCGAGTACGGCAGCAAAGGCTTCGCCTCGCACAACTTCATACCTTTGCCAGCTGTACCGCGTACAAAGTCTCACCGAACCACCCACTTGCCCAATCAGACTTTCCATCCCTGTTACCATGAAATGTGCCACTTTTTGGCTCGCTTTCAAAACATTGTTCCATGGTCCTTGATTGATTGACTCGTGCTGGGCAACCTTGCCTCCCAGGATCCTCGGGATCAGAGGAGGCACAGAGCGTTGACCAACTCTCAGGAGGGCCCGAGATTGGCGAACCCGACCATGAACAGCCACTTTTACTCTTTCACTCTTTTCACCGCCAATGTACAAACGCTCATACGGCAAATAGCCATTCACCCATTGTCAGATTGTCCAGATGGACACTCAATAGACGCCCAACACCTGTCATACGGTGCTAGCGTCAGCGGCTTTTCTCCTGCAAGTGTGTGGATGTATTCCTCTTTCCTCTCCCTCTCTCCTTTTCGTTGGCGCAAGTGGTCAGCGTGTAATAAGTCCCGAGCGAAATTACTGTGCTTCGTTGCTTAACACGAACCGGGAAATTGAAAGAGGCGCCAGAGATCCAATGAAGCTTAAACGGAGACGGCGCTCAACTCCAGCGGCTACCATCAGGCAATGGCGCCCTATCCGGTCGTGTCCTCGACCCTCAATAAGCGCTCACAACTCATCTCTCTCCTTACCACAGGCTCCCACAGGCTACAGTCATGCGAGAGACCACATACTGCAGTCCAGCAAATAAGGTGGCAACGGCGTTTTCCCTCACGTTCTGCCACTAATGTAGCGCTATGCAGATGGGATCTAACCCCGGCCTAGAGTCCCAGCGGAAAGGCCGGGGTGAAAAACAAGGGTTCGTTGGCCGGCCTGGTCTGTACGGGCCAATTCGCCCAAGTGCCCTTTTGGTGCCATCCAACCTCTCCACCAAACCCCCTGGATTAGCGTTCATGGGGTTGGATGTTAGCAGGCGTTGTGTAATTTCCCACTCTGTGTGCCTCGTTCCATGTCGCTCACTCACTCTCACTTGCTGCTGCTGTTCGTGGGCGTTGTTGGCGGAGTGCCTAGCGGAGGAAACGGGAGGGGACCTGACTGACTCTCTCTCACACACACACCTTGTCCTCACTCTCATTCTCACTCGCTCATTCATACCGGGGAGAGGGGCCGTTTGAGTAAAGGACTCGCACTTGTCCAACATGGCTATTAATATGCTGCCGTCCTCCCCGTTGGCTTCAGACCTCTTCTTTTTCTTCCCTCTTCAGCCAAACAAGCCTCATCAATCTCAAGCATCCGCTTTTGACTCAACTTTGACTTCGGTCGTCCATTCTTTACCAAAGCTCTCTGCTTAAAAACACTCGCTCTCTTAATCCAACAAAACCAACAACTTCGTTTTCACGAAACCACCCCCAATAACTCTATTCAAAATGCGTTACGCTGCTGTCGCCCTCGCCGTCGCTGGTGCCGTCATGGCCACCGCTGACGAGCCCGCTTCCACCGTCTTCTCCACCAAGTACTTCACCATCACCTCCTGCGCTCCCGAGGTCACCAACTGCCCTGCCCGCAGCACCGTCGTCTCCTCCAGCGTCGTGGCCGTCCCCACCACCGCCGTCCCCGTCACCGAGTCCGGCGTCAAGCCCACCGCTACCGCTCCCGTCGTCGTCGTTCCTCCCCCCTCCGGCGGCAACAGCACCGCTCCCCCCTCCGTCCCCGCGGTCCCCAAGCCCACCACCGAGAGCGGTGCTAAGCCCGTCCCCGTCACCACCGGCGGCGTTGCTCCCTCCGTCTCTGCTCCCGCCACTCTGGCCACCAGCGCCGCTGCCTCCGTCTGCGGTGGAAGCTCCGTCAAGACCATCTCTACCAGCATCACCACCGTCATCCCCACCGTCATCTACGAGACCGTTCAGATCCCTTGCCCTACCCCCAGCAAGCCCTCTGCGACTATCCCTGGTGTCCCTACCGGTGGCAACGGAACGTGAGTACTCCCTCAAATATCAAACCTCTTGAAGAGGACAAGAATCAAGATGCTAATTATCTAAACCAGTGCTGTTCCTCCCACCAAGACCCCCGTCACTGCCGGTGCCGCTGGCCTGACCGGCTCCGCCATCCTGGCCGCCGTCGCCGGTGTTGCCGCCTTTGCCTTCGCATAAATTCCTTCTTCTGGACATCTCTTCTGAGGAAAAGCCAACCAAGGCTACGGCAGTTTACGATCAAATCTAACGGGTGTTCTTTTTTTGCTGGGGAGTCTTAAGAGGAAATGTAAAGAGCCCTTTCTTCTCTCTGTACATTGTATCTTAACGGAATGCAAAAAAAAAAAACCATTTGTACCTAATCTTCTAATTGTATTTGGGGGACGTCTGGGATGAGCAAAGTTGAAGTCATATTGCGATTGAGACATCGAGCGCGAGGGACTTTTGCTTTGCTTACTCTTGACGGCCTGGCTTTAACGACGAAGTGTTTGGGGAAACCACATTTTACCAAAAGTGATTATTCGCAACGTGACATTTGTCGCTCAAAATGGTTGATGAGAGTTATATCGAAGAGGGGGATGTTCCTCAAGTGAGGTGACATCCGCCTTACAGCGACCTTCCCCGGACTTTTTTCTCTCTCTCTCAACGCCTTACAATTGGGAAATTAGACGGCAACTATCCGCATTGATCATCTTCCTTCCCCTCTGCGGACGATTCCGACGGCACCGATATCATTAGCTCAGACCATACTACGTGTATGTATATACACACCGAATCGAAATAACCATCAGCAGACAAAATAAGCAACCAATCGAAACGGCATCGAACGAGCCACTGCCACTTCGGACGACTTTTTCGGCCAAGACTTGGACGTGGATGGTCTATGCAAGGAACAAGGAGGATCGGCCCTGTCAAATGATCCTAACCACGCACCCCTGGGCCCTTCCCTCCTCACCTTCTCATTCTCAGTGTGTGTGTCTCTCTCGCACAGGCACAGGCACAGGGGCGTAAGAAAACGGCCCTTACCCCACAGGATCAACTTTGAGGGACTTTCGGGAGATTACGATTTGGACGAACGGGTGGCCGCGATTGGTCGGACGGTACCCCGGTCGCAATTTGGACGAAACGCTCGGCTCCGCCCAATGGGATGAACGGCTTCCCCGACGACTTCTGTTGAATGCACCACCACTCTCTCTTTCTCTCTTTGCTGCAGCCTGCACAAGTATTCAGGTTTCCTTCCATTATGCACATCATACGGGATAGAGCAGAGCCTGCGGTCAAGGTTCACCGAGGGCACGGCGAAGATGAGGGGAAGGGGGGCGAGTACACCACATCTCATCCATGCGATGGGGGAGGTTTCGAAAAAGAGGTCAGCCTGGCGCGCGCCGGAAAAGGAAGGCGAATTGGACGAGAGAGAGAGTCTGGGTGTTCTGGAACCGTATCCCATGATCCCATTGATCACTCCCCAAGGATGCGAGGCGCAGTTCCGCCTTTCATTTCGGAGGATATTTTCTACGCTTCTTTTTTTGAACGTTGGAGAACTTGTGGTTCCCTAACCCGTTCATGCAAAGCTGCAAATCTCCCACTTCCGCCTTTTGTCATGCTGCGGGTATCCGTACTTTATGATGTATTCGTACGGATACCTCTGCGGATCACCGGATACATTACTACTGCAAGGTTCCCGGGAGTCCGGGGAGATGAAGAGAGACTTTGGATGAGCTGTGGGGGACCATTTCTCGGTCTCTTCCGAGAGGGGGGACTTCGTTTCCATTGATCGACAGTATCGGCCTTTTGTCTGTTGTTGCTGCCGCGGTGTTGGCTGACCATGGGGTACTGTCGGTGTTTTTTGGTCTTTTGCATTTGGTCTTTTGCAGTCTTCCTGCTGCTGTCTGATGGCTCATCATCGTCAGCAAGTTGCTAAGCCTTGAAGCATAGGGAAACCTAAGATTGAAGGCCGTTTGTTCCTTCTTTCTTGGGCTCAGACTTCTGACAGTCGAAATGCTACTTCCATCATGGGTCCAGAGTCGCCTTATACTTCTTTCAGGCTTGTTTCGACATTTCCATACATCCTTCCTTTCGTCCTCCACCCGTGTCTTCATTTCGAAACGCAAAGATGATGGTTGGAAAGACAGTGTCTCTTCATCATGTCCCCCCCCCCCCCCATAGTCCGGGCCTCCAAGATGACCTTCGAGTGGATTAGATTGCTGCTCCTGCATCAGAATCCTGGCTGTAGTCGTCGAAACAGATGTTCAAAGGGGTCGGTCGCTCGTGAGGCGGTCGACCGACATTGGCTCCCAAAATGAATGATAGTTGCCCTCTGCAGCCGTATCGAAAGAAGCGAACCCTCTTATTCAACTGTCACATTCGACAATGTGGGAATGAACGTCCTTAGCAGCGGTACTTTTGCCCCCCTTGGGCCGCCTCACCGGTGTCTCACATCATGGGCGATTTGGACGAAGTTGTCCTCATGGTATCCTCGATTCAGCATCAAAATCAGCAATGCGACATACGATATACAATATTTCACCCTTCCTCCTCTAGGAAGACTATAATGGTCTGCCGATGCCACAACGCGGCGCATGGTTGGCCAACGAGCGGGATAAACGGCCGCTGAAGTAAGACTGATATCTATTACAGGAAGGGTTGTAACCATGTTGGCCTACTCTTTTCTTTCTGAATTCGTTCGTATCTTACCTAGACCACTGGCATAGGTGTCGATCCGTCGCCATCTCGGGCCTCAAGCTTGACCATGTGAGAGGACCATCGATTGCCCAACGGTCCTGTAGGCTAGCTCAATAGTGTAAACGTGAAGAGAGCGTCTTCTTGAAGACTGGCATGCAGAATGTTTCTATCAAGTGTTTTAGAGGGGGAGGGTTCTACTTCGTGATTACCGAGTTCGAACAGAAACAACTGCTAATTGCAAGCCTCTCTATCAACTTCAAACTCTTGAACCTCAAGGGATCTTTGAAGTATAATTCACTCCTAGAAACAAGGAAACTTCCACGAAGTGGACATGTTTGATGTAGAATACCATTCCACCTAGGAGGGCTGCGGTTTGGGGCAAACGACTCGAGACCCATGTCTGCCAAGTACCCTTACAGTGCCGGGCCTAAAGATAGCCTCAGCCTCATAGGCTGTGAATTGGGCGCAATTTGTTGTGTCGTGTGGCCATTGTACAGCATAAGTGCTGACTTATTCTCAGTAACATTAATAGCTCATTGTCAGGAATCGACAATGCCCTTGTTTTATAGATGCTTGGTTTCAAGTATATTCTCAGGTCGTATCGTTTGAGCAGCGGTTGACTGTTCTTCCCTTCTCCTTTCCCATCGACTGATTCGTTTCCCTCGGCTACGTCAGATGCTTGCGCCAAGGGTTCGTCTTTCGTATCGAGCACGGCCGAGGTCTAGAGCTACTTGGGGTATTGCGTATAAGTGGGAGTAGATGTCACACAGCCAAGTTTGTTTTGCGTGCGAAAGTGCGGTGGAAAAGTTGGCATTGCTTGCTTTTTCACCTGGGCAAGACCACAACATTTACACCGCCGCCCCTTTGAGCCTCTTTCTTTACTTCACCTTTTAAAAAATACGGAAGCAACTTACATAATCTCCGCCATGGCGATGAATTGCCACAGTGTCATTCGATTAGGGGTTAGTCGGTGGTGTCCAAAACAGCGTCATAGATGAAGGCTACTAAAACGACTGCCTCCGACCAAGAGCAAGCAGTGTTGTTTGTACGTTTCGGACACAACTCCACTTATGTTGGTCCAGGACGGTGTTTCGAACACGGGCCGAGAGGGGGTGCTCGACGGTCGATCCCATGCCGTAAGGGTTCACTTTGCGGCCGTCGATGTATATTGTATCCCCTATCGCATCTAACGACACCAACCGGCATCTTGCAGCTGCCAGGTGGTTGATTGAGCTTCGTCATCATGTAAGGCATCGCAATGATCCAAAGGGCGGGGTTCTCTGCAGTCACAGTTCTTCAAGGGATCGGGCTATGAAGCCGTTGGCAATTCTTCGACGGACGGGGTTCCACCTCTAGTTTTCTTTATTGAAGTGGGAGTTGGCTAGGATTAAATCTCAGGTAGACGCTACACTTTATTGGCTCTGATGGCGCGGTTTGACCGTTCCTTGATCGAGTCTTGGCGTTCGGCGTCAAACAGAGCATCGGAGCTTACATTACCAAACGGCCCAACCCAACGCCGATGCCGACTCCGACCGCTGGGGCCCGACGGGACGGACGGGGGGGGGGGGGGGCAGATGGCTCAGCCGTCAGCATAGAGTGGATTTCAACGCAACAAGTCCAGAGATCATCCATTTCAGAGACCAAAAGATTAGCCAAGAGTCTTGAGCCAAGATACATTCATTTTCAATGACACGTCGACTTTTCAGGCCTCTTGACTTCACCAGCAGGGTAAGTATGCAGGTAAGGTAAGGTATGCAAGCGCCCCCAGCCCTACAGCCTCAAAACCATCCGACGTCCGTTATGAGCACCGCCAACCGGGAAAGCCACGCGCATCATCCCATAACCGAACACGTCGTCCCGACCCAATCGTCATCGAAAGTAAGTAGATAAACCTGTCATCCCGTCTCACTGGAACGGACGTTGGCTCACCTTACCTGAGCCCGGGATGGTCTCCACTCTTTCCGCTCGCACTCGGCACGCACAGACCAAGCGCGTCCTACCTCCGACCGCCGATTTCTCCACTCATTTTCTTTTCTTCTCCCACTGAAGCTGAGAGATTGGATCTCAAGGCCGGCCCCACTCCCGCACTCGCTTAATTCCAGCTAAGCAAGCTAAGACAACCAAACAGCCAAACCCGCGATGATCGAAGCCCCCCATGCGTGCCAGACAACCAGCCAAGCCTCTCTTCTTACCTCCGTCCGTCGTTGCCTCCGTTGCTGGGCCTTGGAAGAAGTGTCTTGCCCGTTTCCAAAGGAAAATGAAGCCTGCTATGGATGGTACCACCAAGGAATCGGAACTGAAAAGTGCCCTATGCCGTTTGCGCCAGCCAACCAGGGTCTCTGGAATCAGCCTCCTGTTTGATTCTCCGTCCACATCGACCATCATCCTCCCTTGGCAGCCTACCTAGTCAAGCCACCCGCCCGATGCGAGATGTCTCTGCCCTCCCGTCGATGCGGATGCGAGAGAAAATCTCAGGCGCCGCCATTCCCTTTCCCACG